GAGTGAGATCATGTGGTATTTTTCCTTCGTTGATACATGATTTAAATGGGACATATTTGTAATACTATCAACAATAGAAAATATATTTAAAAAAAATAACTGTTGTTAGGACCAAAGTTATATGTTTATTATCAAATATCTAAATCAGCGGTTCTCAACCTGTAGGTCGCGACCCCTTTGGGGGACAAACGACCCTTTCACAGGGGTCACCTAAGACCATCAGAAAACACATATTGAATATATAGTTACATATTGTTTTTGTGATTAATCACTATGCTTTCATTATGTTCAATTTGTAACAATGAAAATACATCCTGCATATCAGATATTTACGATTCATAACAGTAGCAAAATTACAGTTATGAAGTAGCAACGAAAATAATTTTATGGTTGGGGATCACCACAACATGAAGAACTGTATTAAAGGGTCGCGGCATTAGGAAGGTTGAGAACCACTGATCTAAATAAACAAAAAATTATAATCCCACCTTTGAGATAAAATTATTGTGGTGCATTTGTCATTAACTTCCATTATCATTTATATGTATATATACATGTACACATTCTTTTTAAAAAAATCTATATTGTTGAAAGTATTACATCCCATTTACTCCCCCACAATTGACCCCTGCCAGCTGCCCCTGCCCACCACCCTAGGCCTTCACCACCCTGTTGTCTGTGTCCATGGATAATGATTATATGCATACAACTTATTTTGTTGATCTGTACCCACCTATCTCCACCTTCCCTCTGAGATTCCACAGTCTCTTCCAAGCTTCTATATCTCTAGACCTATTTTCTTCATCAGTTTATTTTGTTCACACATATGAGTGAGATCATGTGATATTTACCTTTCTCTGACTGGCTTATTTCGCTTAGCATAATATTCTTCAGGTCCATCCAGACTGTCTCAAAGGGTAAGAAATGCTTCTTTTTTATTGCTGCATAGTATTCCATGGTATAAATGTGCTATAGCTTTTTTATCCACTCATCTATTGATGGGTATTTGGGCTGTTTGCAGATCGTAGCTATTGTAAATTGCCCTACTATGATCATAGGGGAACGTGCTTTCTTTCTGTTTGGTGTTTCAGGTTTCTTAGGATATATTCCTAGAAGTGGGGTCACTAGGTCAAATGGCAGTTACATAATTTAATTTTTTGAGGAAACTCCATACTGTTTTCCATAGTGGCTGCACCAGTCTGCATTCCCACCAGCAGTGTACTAGGGATGTCTTTTTGCCACATCCTTGCCAGCACTTGCCATTTGTTGATGGTAGCCATTCTGACAGGTGGGAGGTGATACTTCATTGTCCTTCTGATTTTCATCTCTCTGATGATCAGTGACTGTGAGCATTTTTTCATATGTCTCTTGTCCATCTGAATGTCTGCTTTGAAGAAGTGTCTATTTAGTTCCTTTGCCCATTTTTTAATTGACTTGTTTATCTTCCTCTGTTAAATTGTATGAGTTCCTTATATATTTTAGATATTAACTGTTTATCAGATGTATCATTGCCAAATATATTCTCCCATACAGTGGGCTCCCTTTTCATTTTGTTGATGGTTTATTTCACTATGCAGAAGCTTTTTCTTTTGACATACTCTCATTTGTTTCTTTTCTTCTTAGTTTCCTTTGCTCTAGGAGATGTACCTGTAAACATATTGCTATGAGAGATGTCTGAGACTAGTATTTTTATGGTTTCCAAATTACATTTAAATCTTTTATTCATTTTGAGTTTAGTTTTAGTATGGTGTAAGTTGGTTTAGTCTCATTTTTTTGCATCTGTCTAATTTCCCCAACACTGTTTATTGAAGAGACTGTCTTGACTCTATTGTATGCTCTTGCCTCCTTTGTCAAATATTAATTCAGTATAATCAATTGGTGTGATTTCTGTGGTCTCTGTTCTGTTCCATTGATCTTTAAGCCTATTCTTGTGATAGTATCAGGCTGTTCTGAGCAAACTGGCTTTGTAATATAACTTGATATCTGGTATTATGATCCCTTCAACTTTGTTCTTCTTTCTCAAGATTGCTGAAGCTATTCGGCGTCTTTTTTGGTTCCATATTAATTTTTGGAGTATTTGTTCTAGGTATGTGAAATATAATGTTGGTATTTCCATAGGGATTGCATTGAATCTATAAATTGGTTTAGGTAGTATGGACAGTTTAATGATGTTAATTCTACCAATCAATGAATATGGTATACTAGAGGCCTGGTGCACGAAATTTGTGCATGGGTCGGGGAGGAGCCCTCAGCCTAGACTGCACCCTCTCCAATCCAGGACCCCTTGGGGGATGTCTGATTGGCTCTCGCAATCTGGGACCGCTGGCTTTTAACTGCTCTTCTGCCTGCCTGATTACGCCTAACCCCTCTGCCTGCCTGATCACCCCTAACCACCTCTGCCTGCCTGTCTGATCACCGCTAACTGCTCCCCTGCTGGCCTGATTGCCCCTAACCACCTCTGCCTAGCCCCACACCCAGAACCTGGGCTTCCCTCCCTCTGGCTGGCCGCAGGCACCCAGGACACTGGCCGGCTTCACCCTGGCAGGCCACAGCTGTAGGGGATTGTGGGCAGGTGGCTTCGCCCGGGCCACAGCCACAGGCAACTGTGACCGCAGAGCAGGCGGCTTGTCCCTCTCCTGGGCCACAGCCTGGCTGGTCCCCATTCCTCTCTTGGGAGCTCATTTGTGCCTGGCTGGTCCCCATTCCTCTTTCATGAGCTCATTTTTGCCTGGCTGGTCCTCATTCCTCTCTCAGGAGCTCATTTGCACCTGGCTGGTCCCCATTCCTCTCTTGGGAGCTCATTTGTGCCTGGCTGGTCCCCATTCCTCTTTCATGAGCTCATTTGTGCTTGGCTGGTCCTCCTTCCTCTCTTGGGAGCTCATTTGCACCTGGCTCGTCCCCATTCATCTCTTGGGAGCTCATTTGTGCTTGGCTGGTCCCCATTCCTCTCTCCCCAGTGTTGAGTGTCTGAGCCATTATGGCGTGAGGGTGTGATGACTATTTTTGCATGTTAACTTTTTATTATATAGGATTCTTCCACTTGTCTTTATCTTTTTTCAACGTCCTATAGTTTTCTGAGTACAAGTCTTTTACCTCCTTGTTTAAGTTACTTCTTAAGTATCTTAATTTTTTTTATGGTAATAGTAAGTGGGATTGTTTGTTTAGTTTCTCTTTCTGAGGATCCATTTTTAGTGTATTGAAATGCCATCGATTTCTGGGTGTTAATTTTGTATCCTGCTATGTTGCTGAATTCATTTATTAAATCTAATAGTGTTTTTGATGGTGTCTCTAGGGTTTTCTATGTAAAATATGTCATCTGCAAATAATGAGAGTTTTACGTTCTCCTTTCCAATTTGGATGCTTTTTTATTCTTGTTTAATCACTGTGGCTAAGACTTCCAAATAATATCCTATATAATAAAGAGGGAATATGCAAATTGACCATCACTTCGCTACAAAGATGTTAGCACCCACAGCAGAGAAGGGGTTTCTGTAACACAAGATGGCTGCACCTACAGCAGAGGCCAAGTTTCGTAATGAGCCTTAACGAGCAATCAGCAGGGACCTCAGGCCGCACCCCCCTCCTTCCCTCAGTGGGGCTTGACAAGGGTAGGACTGATCGGGTCTGGATCTAGCCCAGTGGAGGTGGGGCCGGCCGGGTCTGGGTCTCACACGATTTCGAGGTGCACATGGGTGGGCGGGGACTTGAATCTGGGTCCCGTGGTGCACCCAAGACTCTGACAGGAGGAAGATTTTCATGTACATTTTACTAATTTTCTTTCATCTCTGACACTTCTATTATAGAGAAAGGGCAAATAGCAATATTAAAATATTTCCTCTAATTAATTCTCTTTAATGTGCACGAATATTGTGTACCGGGCCACTAGTGTTGAAGAAGAGTGGTGAAAGTGGACATCACTGTCTTGTACCTGTTCTTAGGGGGAATGCTTTTAGTTTTTTCCCACTGAGTGTGATGTTGGCTGTAGGTTTGTCATATATGGCCTTTATCATGTTGATGTATGGTCCCTCTATTCCCACTTTGCTGGGAGTTTTTATAAAAAAAGCAGTTATTCCCCCTCCCAACCCCTGCTCCTCAGAGGGACAAAACCTGCCTGGATAGTAATGATCTGCTGGTGATGGATGTCCTCTGCCATATGAGGGAATGACTTGGCTCAGGAAACTGTGGTGTTTGCCTTCCAAGCTCTAACCCCAGAGCCTCCAACCCTGGCTTCTGCTCCTACAGCTCCAGTGCACTCTGCCCTCCCTCTGCTGGAGTCCATGGTGAGTGGGTGCACACTTAATTTTGTGAGTTGGCCTTTTAAGAAGGTGCCTGCATTTCCAGCTGTCTCTCCCTGGCAGACTGCAATTCTGCTGCTTTTCACAGACAGATGATATGTGGGAACCCTTCTCAATTCTGGTGCTCTTAGTTGGGGGTCCAGCTTGGGGATTAGACTCCAGAGTTCTCAGTAGGAACTCCCCTCTCCCCCCACAGCTGAGATATCCCTCCGGAACTTCAGCTGATGTCTGTGGGAGCCCAGCTAGCCCTCTTGCACCTCTGCACTTCCTACCAGTCTCTTT